TCCTTCCTTCCCTCCCTCCCTCCCTCCCACCCTCCCTCCCACCCTCTCTGTCTTTCTTTCATCTTCTTTTCTTTTTCTTTCTTTTTTTTTTTCTTGAGACAAACTCTGGCTGTTGTACCCCAGGCTGGAGTGCAATGGCGCGATCTCGGCTCACTGCAACCTCCACCTCCCGGGTTCAAGTGATTCTCCTGCCTCAGCCTCCCAAGTAGCTGGGATTACAGGTGCCTGCCACCATGCCCGGCTAATTTTTGTATTTTTAGTAGAGACGGGGTTTCACCATGTTGGCCAGGCTGGTCTCAAACTCCTGACCTCAGGTGATACACCTGCCTTGGCCTCCTAAAGTGCTGGGATTATAGGCTTGAGCCACTGCGCCTGGCCTCTTTCATTTTCTTTCTCTTTCTTTCTTTCATCTATCTCTCCTTCCTCCGTTCCTCCCTTACTTCCTTCCCTTTCTTTCTTTCTCTTTCTTTCTTTTCTTTTTCTTTCTCCTTCCTTCCTTCCTTCCTCTTTCTTTCTTTCTTTCTTTCTTTCTTTCTTTCTTTCTTTCTTTCTTTTTTTCTTTCTTCCTTTCTTCCTTTCTTCCTTTCCTTTCCTTTCTTTTCTTCTTTTCTTTTCCCCCTCCCCTCCCCTCCCCTCCTCTTCCCTCCCCTCCCCTCCCCTCCCCCTCACTCTGTCACCCAGGCTGGAGTACAGTGGTGCAATCTCAGCTCACTGCAACCTCCACCTCCCAGGTTCCAGCGATTCTCACCTCAGTCTCCTGACTAGCTGAGACTACTGGTGTGTGATAACACCCTTAGCTAATGTTTGTATTTTTTGTAGAGACGGAGTTTCACCATGTTGGCCAGGCTGGTCTTGAACTCCTGACATCAAGTGATCTGCTTGCCTTGGCCTCCCAAAGTGCTGGGATCACAGGCGTGAGCCACCACACCCAGCCCTGTTTTTTTTGTTGTTGTTTTTGTTTTTGTTTTTGTTTTTTGAGACAGGGTCTCACTCTGTCACCCAGGTTGGAGTGCAGTGGCATCATTTCAGCTCACTGCAACCTCTGCCTCCCAGGCTTAAGTGATCCTCCCACCTCAGCCTCCTGAATAGCTGGGACCACAGGCATGCACCACCATGTCTGGCTAATTTTTTGTATTTTTGGTAGAGACGGGGTTTCACCATGTTGCCCAGGCTGATCTCGAACTCCTGAGCTCAAGCGATCCACCTGCCTTGGTCTCTGAAAGTGCTGGGATTATAGGCATGAGCCAGTGCGCCAGGCCATAGTCTTTTATAACCTAATCTCAGAAGTATCCCGTCACTTTTGCCACATTCTATTCATGAGAAGTGAGTCACTTTTGAAATGAAATATAGAATGATTTAAAAAAATAAGTGAGTCAAAAGGTTCAGCCCACGTTCAAGCAGAGGGCACCACACAAGGGTATGAGTGTCAGGAGGCAGGGGTCACTGGGGCCTCTTAAGGACTGCCTACCACAGCTTCCATAATGAAGCAGGCTCACGGTTCTCTTCTCTTCTCCCTGACAGCTGCTTCTCTGGTCCATTTAGGGACTCCAGTCCTCTGCCCACCATTTTTTTTTTTTTTCGTGATGGAGTCTCGCTCTGTCATCCAGGCTGGAATGCAGCGGCATGATCTCTGCTCCCACTGCAATCTCTGCCTCCAGATTCAAGCGATTCTTCCTACCTCAGCCTCCCAAGTAGCTGGGATTACAGGCACCCACGACCACGCCCAGCTAATTTTTGTAGTTTTAGTAGAGATGGGGTTTCGCCATGTTTGCCAGGCTGATCTCAAACTCCTGATCTCAGGTGATCTGCCCTCCTCAGCCTCCCAAAGTGCTAGGATTATAGGCGTGAGCCACCGCACCTAGCCTCTGCCCACCTTTGAAATGTGGCGCGTCACCTGGGCTCTTTCCTGGGCTTAGAGCTCTTCACATTTGGTGTATTCTTCCTGAGGGACATCATCGACTCTTGATTTCAGCTATCAACTCTATGCTAATGATGTCCATATCTTCAGCCCAGAGACCTCTCTCCATGACACTACACACAACTGTATTCTAATATAACTCTTTGCTGGATCCAGGGCATGTCCCATAGGCACCTCAGATATAAAAGGTTCAAGAAAGAACTTTGTTGAATAAGTTCTGTGCCTCTATTTTTTCCTGTCTCAATGAATGGCACCTCCACGCATCCAGGCATCCAAGTGAGAAACGTGGGCATCATCCTTGACACAACCCTCTCCCTGACCCTCATATCCAACATAAAGCCCTGCTGACTTGAGTTATTTCCGGGTTTTTTAAACGTGTTGCCTCCTTCATGTCCCTGATACCAATGTCAATACTGGCCATTAGCATCTCTTGCCTAGGCTATTGCAGTAGCTTCCTGGCTTTTCCTGCCTTCATTCTTGTCCCCTCAGATTCATATTCTCAAAAATGCAAAGCTGCTCTTGATGAAAACCCATCATCCACTCCCCATGGCCTCCTAGATCAAAAGATACTTAATGATTGGGCCCCATCTAGTCTCTCCAGCTGCATTTTTCTCTTATGGTTTATGCTTTAGCAATCCCAACTGCCTCCCTGCACACAACCTACTCTTCCTCACTTGTGTGCTTTTGTTCATGCTTCCCTCCAATTTTAATGACCCCTTCAGAAGGACTATTTCCCCTTTAAAAGTCTTTTTTTTTTTTTTTTTTTTTTTTTTTTTTGAGACAGAGTCTCTCTCTCTCACCCAGGCTGGAGTGCAGTGGCACGATCTTGGCTCACTGCAAGCTCCATGTCCCAGGTTCACGCCATTCTCCTGCCTCAGCCTCCCGAGTAGCTGGGACTACAGACGCCCACCATCACACCTAGCTAATTTTTTTTTTTTATTTTTATTTTTAGTAGAGATGGGGTTTCACTGTGTTAGCCAGGATGGTCTCAATCTCCTGACCTCGTGATCCACCCGCCTCAGCCTCCCAATCCCCTTTAAAATTCAAGAAAATGCCTGGTGTAGTTGTGCACACCTACAGTTGCAGCTACTGGGGTGGGCAAGGCAGTAGGATAACTTGAGCCCAGGAGTTCAAGTTTGCAGTGAGCCATGATAGTGCCACTGCACTCCAACCTGGGCAACAGAGTGAGACATCATCTCAAAAATAAGTAAAATTCAATTTTCCCGGTCTAGTTTTGTGTCCTAGCACACTATACTGTTGTGATTTATATATGCATTTGTGTCTCCTACTGGACCATGAGCTTTCTTGATGGCAGGAATTGTGTCCTGTTCTGCTTTGTGTCCCCAGTACCTTCTATGGAGATCATACAAGTATAGGTACTCAAGCTATGTGTATTGAATGGATGAATGGATGAACTGGAGGTCTACATTAACATATGATTTTTATTAGTTGGTTCTTCAAGTCAAGTAGAAGTTAGCCAGGGTAAGAAGAGTGAGAAAGGCATTCCAGTTATAGGGAACTGCAAGTACAAAGGCCAGAAGGTTAAGGGAGGTGAATTCAAGGAAGTGGCAGTGGTTTGGTGTGGTTGGAGTATAGGGTGCATAGTGGTGCTCCCAGGAGCCAGTTACTGTGAAGGTCTGAAAAGCTGAGTAAGTAGTTTGGCTTCTGTCCTGTGTGCAACAGGGAATAAGAGTTTGAAGCAGGGGAGTGATTTGATCAGAGCCATATTGTAGAAAGATTAATTACCTCAGTAGCCAGTGTGGAGGATAGACTAGAAAGGGGGCAAGACGGGAGACTGGGAGGCCAGGTAGGAAGGAGATCCATGGGCCAAGCAGGAGATGTGGAGGCCTGAACTAGGACACTGGGTGCAGGGAAGAGAAGAGGAGATGGATTTGAGAAATACTCAGTTGAACTCTATGAAATTCCCGTTTTGTAAGAAAAAGCTAGGTGATATTGTCAATTTCATATATTCATAATTTTTCATATTAATATTAATGAAGTAAATGAACTGGATGGGATTTCAAGTCTTTGATTGGATGTGAATATGAGGAAGAGGAAGGTGTCAAGGACAGGGACCGTTTTTCTGACTTGAATGCCAGAACGGATGGAGTGTCACCATGGGGAGCGGGAACCAAGGTCTGGGGGCATGGTAGGGTAGATGACATGTTTAGATTAGACATGTTGATTTTGAGGTATTTTTAGAACCTCTAGGAGGTGGCTGGGTATCCTGATGTGAAGCTTAGGAGAGAGGGCTAAACTGGAGACAAATTTAGTGATTACCAGCATAGAGAAAGCAGTTGTGGGAGGGGATGATTCACCCTGGGAGAGCAGCCAGACAGAGCTGGAGAACCAAGAGAGT